GAGGAGCTAAAAATATCAGAAATAGAATGGCAGGTTGATAAGATGTGAATATTCCCTTTCGTATATTACTTACATATAATTTTATACTTAATTTAAAGTAAAAAGTTGCAAATTATTTCTACATAATAGTGCGTCCTTAGATATTTTATAAAAAATGACAGGTGCTATCTATTGGCAGTTGGGGAAGAGGGCAGAGAATGTCATCGTGGCGGAAGTAAAACATCTAAGAAAAATAGCTGCTGTCACAAAAATAAATCATATAAGAAATGATCACCTAAGAAACGAATTCAAGCAGGAACCGTCAGGATCTAAAATAAAAAAAAAAACTAGTTTAAGAGTGGAGCAGAATGGAATCCAAGAAATACGAAAAAAAAAGACAGGAAAAAACAAAGATGGACTGGTTGTAACAATCACTAAAAACTGGCAGAGAAAAAGAAAAATTATTTCAACAAAGGAATGAACTAGCTAGGAACCGGAAGAGAAGGAAGAGTTGGGTACAAGAAATATAAAAATATCACTTCGACGTCCAAACAGGAAATTAAGGAGTTTAGAAATGTTTAGAAACCTAGAATGAACTTAAATGGCGATTAAAAAAGTAATTTATGACTTATATACTGGAGAATATTATAAAAAGTATTTATGAGGACATCCTTAAGAAATTAGCATAATAGTTTGTTTAAAAAGTATTTATTTTGCAATGTATTTGGTTATTTTGATAGTTATAATATTATAAATAGAATAAGATGAGTAAATTTTGTTATATTTGGACATTTTGTGAATGAAAGTGATATGGGACAGTGAATCCTGGTTAAAATTGAACAGAAAGGGAACATTTGAAATAATAATTATGGATTAAAATAGTTTTATTTACTAATTTAAGATGTTTAATTTATATATAAGTTTTCATTTTGATCTGAAAAGACTAAATTTCTTTATAGAAAAGAGAAGAACTTTTTATAAAAAGTAAAAAGACAGCAAATATTTGATTTCACGCAAACAGCGCCTTTGTATCTGTTGATACGTATTTCGACCTAATAGGTCTCATCAGAACAGTTATTCAAAGGTGTTCTTACCTTTAAATAACTGTTTAACTGTTTTGATGGGACCCATTAGGTCGAAATACGTATCAACAGATACAAAGGTGCTGTTTGCGTGAAATCAAATATTTGCTGTCTTTTCACTTTATTCGGATCTACTCTGTACGAGTACTAGAAACCAATTCGCTAAGGTTTTCTGCTTAGTTGAAAAGACGTGTCGTGGAATGCAAATTTTAGATTCCCCACGTATCTTTTAACACCTTTGTCAACGTCTGTTTTGCTTTACAATTTTTAGAAAGCACAGATAAAAGCGGAAATCTGAATTGTGTTTCAAAACTATTTTACGGTTTTAACTTTCTAGAAGTTTAAAATAAGACGTCAAAACGTCTAAATAGCAAGAATATAACCTCTTCTCGTTCGAGAATTTTCGCGAACATTGAAATATCTCTAAAATAGAAGACTCTAACTGGAGAATATTCGCCAACATTGACATATCTACAAATACGCTGTCACTTTGAGCGTAAGGGAGATTAAGAAGATTAATTATTGAAAAGTCAAACTGTCACAATTCATTTTTGGAAAAAGTCAAGTTTCTGTTAAATTTTTATAGTAAAGAATTCGAAGTAATATATAAATTAGTTAAAAGTCGATCAAATAAAGAAGAAATTATATTTTACTCAACTATAAATTTTATTAAGAAAAAAAAATAATTTGAATTGGTGGAAGCTGCTAATTGAAACATTGTGGTCTATTTTGGAGAAGCAATTTCATAAAAAGAAGGATAACCAAAAGCTGATAACTGAGACATTGGGTGGCGATTAAAACCCTTATTTTGCAAAACAATTTCAATTAGGCATTCAGTGACAAAAAGAAACCAAATTTTGTTAGTATAATTTATTTCTTGTAATAAGAACTTCAGTGTAAAGATAGGTTGTTTTAAATTTATATCATGAATGTGTTGCTTGTGTGAGTCCATTTCAAATAGGTAAAGAAATAATAAATAAGACTTACTCACAATCAATTTAATTTAACTATCCAGACGACCGGTTTCGCTTTCTACAATATGCAAAGCATCTTCAGGTCTCGATAAAAAGTTAAATAAATGTTGAAATAATAATAAACCCATATTAGGGTGTTGTGTAATAAAGATAAACAAAGTAGATGATATAAATTAAAGTAATTATGCCAATATTACATGTCTGTGGTTTTTCAAAATGAATAAAAAGTATAAAAAGTTTTAACAGACAAGGTAAGACCCATAAATTGGTATAAAATAGTCTATTAAATTGTAATAAATTAATAAATGAGCAAATAAATAAAACATTACTTACATGCCGGTACTCTATTAATTGATGGATGGTAGAACATGATTGAAACTATCATGTATTGTTGAATGGAGAACTTAAGTCTGCTATTGTAGTTGTTTGACAATAAACGGGAAGTTCTTGAGGAGATAGATTTGATCCAATGAAGTAGAGATAGGTGTAATGTGATTGTTTGTTAGATGAAAGTGATGTTCTATACCATTAAATTATTTAAAAGTTATTTATACTTATTCAAGAGATACACTTATGAAATGTGTGTTATTTTATTGAGATTTTATTTTATAAGGGTGACAGTTTTATGACAATAAATAAATGTACAAATTGTGTGGGTGTGCAATTCTTTCAACTTGTAATTATCAAATTTCTTTGATAAAGTTCTATTGGCATAAATGGTCCATTATTCCAAAGTCAAGTAAATAAAATTATTATGGGATTATTACTACATCCCATCTGGTTTCTAAATATATTCATCTTACAAAATATTTAATTTCAAACTCAACACGTGGTTTGAGAGTTTCCAACACAACATGAAAAATCGTTCAGACTAGTAGTATTAATTAAATACATCTTTACTATTCATAATCATATTTAATTTTTTTAAATTTTTTTAAAAGTTTTACTTAAATTTTATTACAAACTCACCATTGTGCATGTCGGTGTTAGGAATATCTGTTCATGTGTTACGAAAAATTGAAATAAGAATAAATTTGCTTTACACCGGTTTAAATAGAGTACCGTTTAGCTGTTGGTATAACCAATCTTCGGTCCCAACTGTCAGATGTTAGAATTACCAACTAATTATTGAAGGCTTAATAATTCAGTCGATTTCTTGAATTCATAAATTAATTTACCATCAATAATTATCCACTTATTACTTTAGTTACATATTAATATATCAGAACTGGAATTAAATATTTAAAAATATTTATACACACCATGACAGATAACTCATACCAACAATAATATCAAATAAATTTTGTAAATTTGTTATACATTTTTATTACAAATGTACATGTTTAATTACCAAATAATCACTGTAATTTGTTTTGTAATTTTGACTAAACTGAGTTAGTTATAATAGAGGATGTATTTCAATTATTCGTATTGTTACATTTAAATTTAATTAATTAAAGATTGTTAAAGTATGCCAATATTAAACACATCAATTTACTTTTGATATCTTAATTAAAACAATTTTAGAGACATTTATTAATATCAGCATATTTCATAAAACTGGATAACTTAACTTACAGTATTGAGAAATAGAAGAAGAACAGTCACATTTTAACCCACATATGTCAAATTTACTTCAAAAATCTAACAGATAACATAAAAAAAACTCATTGTCTCCAAGACTGAAATGTAGTGCATTAAAGTGCTTCTCCCCTTTTTAAATTTAATGTTTGTTTGGTCCCTTTTAAGTGTTTTCTGTGTGTTTAAATTGTCCTTAATGGTTTTAAATTTAATAATTTTATATACTTGACTTTGCAACAATTTACCATTTATGCCAATAGAACTTTATCAAAGAAATTTGATAATTACAAGTTAAAAGAATTGCACACCCACACAATTTGTTCATCTAATCTTATTCATTGTCATAAAACTGTCACCTTAAAAATCTCAATAAAATAACACACATTTCATAAATATATCTTTTGAACAAGTATAAATAACTTTTAAATAATTAAATGGCATAGAACATCACTTTCATCTAACAAACAATCACATTACACCTATCTCTACTTCATTGGATCAAATCTGTCTCCTCAGGAACTTCCCGTTTATTGTCAATCAACTACAATAGCAGACTTAAGTTCTCCATTCAACAATACATGATAGTTTCAACCATGTTCTACCATCCATCAATTAATAGAGTACCGGCATGTAAGTAATGTTTTATTTATTTGCTCATTTATTAATTTATTACAATTTAATAGACTATTTTATACCAATTTATGGGTCTTACCTTGTCTGTTAAAACTTTTTATACTTTTTATTCATTTTGAAAAACCACAGACATGTAATATTGGCATAATTACTGTAATTTATATCATCTACTTTGTTTATCTTTATTAGACAACACCCTAATATGGGTTTATTACTATATCAGCATTTATTTAACTTTTTATCGAGACCTGAAGATGCTTTGCATATTGTAGAAAGCGAAACCGGTCGTCTGGATAGTTAAATTAAATTGATTGTGAGTAAGTTTTATTTATTATTTCTTTACCAATTTTAAATTTATATTTAAATATTGTCTGAATAAGATATATATATATGTTTTTTTTATGATAATTGTAATAAAGATAATTTTAAAAGAGCATACAAACTAATTCTTTGGGAACTGCGACAAAAACCCTATATATGATATTTAAAAATACTCATTGCTCATAATACAATACAAACAATATATCATAGCAATATATATATATATATATATATATATATATATATATATATATATATATATATATATATATATATATATATATATATATGTGTCGATATTTTGCGAGTGAGTGTTTAGGACTTAACTAACTTATAGATCCCGTCGATTTTCGAAAAAAATTACTTTTATAATTTGAACTTGTTTATTGTATATTTGAAAATTTTAATTTATGCTTTTATTTTATTGTAGGTTTATTAAAGAGAGGCATACTTGGAACGAGTGCAATGGTAAAATCAATATTAAAAGAAAACCATCCAGAATTATACGAAAAGTTTGCACCCTTTGCTGATAATGCTCTAGAAAAGTTCTTGAATTGTTTAGATTATAGAAGCCCATATTCCGTAATAACTCATGGCGACTGTTGGAGTAACAATATAATGTTTAAAATAAATGTGAGTATACTATTTTGTAGAATGACGATAATATACGAAATAGATCGGACACTTTACTTAAGTTTATGTTTGTGTTTGTGTTGAAGTTTGGGCATTTATCTCTTTGGTACAAAAGTTCTGAAATTAATTTGTGATAGTGAATAACGTACTTGTAATGTACTCATTCATTTATTTATTTAGCGAATGTCAATATCACAGTTAAGTTTTTGTATAAGCAAAGAGGACAATACATTACAAGTAGTTAATAAGAATTATTAATTTTTAAAAATAAACATTTACTTAACAAATATAATCAATAAACTTTTTGGTCGCAATTAAAAAATCGAACGGATTACCATTGTAGGATTCGGTCGGATATTTGTCTTGCAGCACCGCCGTTGCACTTTGAATAGGGTATTTTTTCCACCTAAAAAGAGGGATGAAGCAACTACCATAGTTTGTTCTTATTCTATTCAGTTTGCAAACCAAACTATATTTATAGCTGGATATTGGTGATCTGCTTAAAGAATCACACTTCTGCAATCTATCCACTTTAATCTGAATCGGTATTCTGAATCTCCTCGATTCATTTGTTTGTGAGTTTTCAACTCTAATAAATCCTTTTTTTTGTGAACGGTTCCACTTACGTAAATTCCGTCCAAAAATAAAGATCTCTGAAGATCGATAGAGTTGAAATAGTTATCAAAGGATACTCGGTGGTGTTTAATTACTAATACCTTTCTTAGATCCTCTACAACTCGTTGTCCTAGTTTTTCTTCTGTTGGATTTTCCACTTTACCAGTATATATCTGAAACTCGCACATGAATTCGCTTGAATCTGCTCTGACCTATACTTTGTAGCCACGTTTTATAGGTTTATTGGGCATGAACTGTCGGATACGTATCATCGTATCATAGACTCATCAATCGCTTGAAACTCATCTGGAGTCAATGCTGCATGAAACGTTTCCGTGAGTTTGACCAGTAGAGATCGCACTTTGTAAAGTTTCTCAAATTCGGGATCAGTTTTTTTGGCTGCACCATATTATCAACCAGGTGTAAACTGCCTAGTAACCAAGAGAATCTGCTATGTGACATAGCCGACCTGATGAAAGGGTCTCGTAATTCTGTTGCCGTTTCGCAAGTACGACTACACATTTGTAATGTATTAACAGACTTTTTGATAGTTTCGATTCTCCCCGTATATTTAAACCGAGATTTACGGTGTGAGTGACACAGCGATTTTAAGGGCTAAAGATTGCAAGTCGGGCCATCTGCGAGATAACAAGGGAAGATTCCATATGCCATATGGGAGGGATGTATTTTTTTAAGTTAAAATCAGAGTCGAGTTTTATCTCTCCAACCACAGAGATGTGTATGCGTTTTGGGTTAAGAGTACCTTCGTATCGGTCTGGCGACCAAGAGAGACGTTAAATTTGTGGTTCCTGCGTACGTCGCTGAAGACGTTTGCGATAGCGGGGGTGCTATATTTTCATTGGTTAAAGAACAATATACGATATATCTATGTTGCTCCATATATCAAGTACGTGCACTTGGTATATTTATTTGATATTTGTTTGGAACTTTATCACATTTGTCCGCTTCCACCGAATGTCCGCTTCAAATGTGTGCTGGGCCAATTCTGTTATCCAGTCAATGTGATTCAATTAAATCGACTCTTAACTGATTAGAAGTTGAAAATATAATATGGGCAACCAATTTTACATACTGGTATGACTGTAAAAACGCTGGAAAGTTTAAAACAAAGGTTTGTAAAGGTGGTCATCTCAACATAGTGACAGTCGTCAAATGGTTAAATAAATGCAAATGTAAATAAATTTAATTTTCGCCAAAAACTGTATATTTTGATCGTATCTATAAAAAATGGAGTAAATATTTACATAATTAAACCTGACGCAATATATAAACAAAAATTACTGACAAAAAAGTATGAATATTTAAATTAAGACAAATGAAGTATGTAAGGTTAAAATATTTAAATACGTATTAAGTCTGAATATGGAAGTGATACTTTGATATATAATTTGATACGATCATTACACATTTTTTATTTCAATATATTACTATTGTGCAAAAATATACTCAAAGTTATTATTGACAGAATTATGTAAAATTATTAGTCATAGTCCATAGTTCTGCAATTTTTTTCCCTAACATCTTTTTATTTTAATTGCTTTTAATAATAAAAAAAAACTAATATTTTATAATTTAAAAAACCGTCTAGTATGTTTATAATATTCTAAACGCAAAATTTCTTAAGCTAATATAATATAATACAAAAAGAAAAACATACTCTGTTAACTATTCTGTGGAAATAGCATATCGCGCCTCTTTTTCTTTGTTGTCGTTTCTGTATTCACAATGTAGTCACCATAATTGCTTCCTGCTTTATTATTTCCCCATTAATTTCGATTTTACATTGTAGTTGGTATTAAGATGTTGTCATACATTTGATTTTTTCTAATGATTGTATTGTATTTATTGGCTGTTGTATTTAAGATGTTTGTTAATATTTGAAGCTCATCTTCTTTCTCGGCAAGTTATGCAGCGTCCTCTGTATAACATAGTATTTAAATTTGTTTGTTTCCCATTCTGTAGTCATGACTTTGACCTACTGATTGTATTGTTTTGTCCATTATTATATTAAAGTGAAGTGGGCTTAACGAGTAACCCTGTCTGGCTCCGCTTTGTACCGGCAGACACTGTGATAGTTTTTCATTTATCTTTGCCTGTATTCGATAACTAAAGAAAATGTTTTCGATGGTTCTTATAATATTAATGGTATGTTTCTTTTATACAGTAGGTATACGATGTTTTCGACTTGGAAATCGAAAGCCTTTGTCAGCCGTTTGAATCCTTATTGTTCATCTGATAAAGTTGTTAGTTTGTTAATTTTGTTGGTTAGGACTTTTGTGGCAAGCTTAAGTGCGGTGTTCAGTAGATTTATACCTCTATAATTGTTGGGGTCTTCTTTATCTCCTTTCTTGAAGATTGGTATTATTTTGTTGTTTCTCCATGCATCTGTCATCTTGTCGTGCAGGTATAAAATTAAATAACTTTATTGTTTTATTTGTCTGTTCGTTTTCTTCGTTCTACCTGTCAGATTATTTACTTTTCCTTGAGTTCTAAATTTTCTTTCCTTAAATTACGGATTTCTTTTTAATAATCCCTTTGTCGTTTTTGAATTTCTTTAGTTTTAAGTTTTACTATATTTCCTTTTAATTTTCAATTATTACAATTTTTCTGAATTGGGGACCTAAATACTGGTTTACCTTTCTAGATGAAAGTGGATGATTGTTTACTTGCAATTTCGGTTAGGTTTACCAGACTTATTTAGTAGATATAATAAATAAATTTCCCAACTTTGTTCAATTACTATACCAATTACCCCCCAAAATTCTTAATTTATAATACTGCCTTTTCACCCATACGCGTTTTGTTTTGATAAATTATCACTAATTGTTCCTTTGACGAATGTTCTCCGCACTCATCGCTTCAAACGTCCGAAGCTCGCAGCACTAATTATTATTTGTATAGGTTAACCTTGTTTTTCAAATCCTGTTAAAATTGTTAAACAGTACAAACAAATATATATCGATGATCTTGACCACGAGGTCGAAATACGTGCTCGTATAGAATATGCTAGGTCCGCATTTCAACGAATGAAAAAATTCCTAAAAAACTCTACGTTATCGTTGGACATCCGATACCAATTTGTCTTCTTCTTCTCCTTCTACTTTTTGTAGATCTTTCGATCTGTTTAATTTTGAAGCTGCCTCTGGTTAATTTCTTGGGAGGTAGATTGCCAACTATCCCTCCATCTTTTAGGTGGTCTTCCGGGGGGACTTGAACCGGGCGGATTGTTTTCTAGGGCAATTTTTGGGAGTCTATTCTCATCCATTCGTCTTACATGGTTGTACCACATCCTCTTTCGCTGCCTTCCCCATCTTACAATATCTTGAATTTTGCACTGCTCTCTAATGTTTGTATTTCTCACTCTGTCTCTTTTTGTTTTCCCCATTATTGTTCTTAGGGTTTTCATTTCGGCAACCCTTAGCATCTGTTTCGTTTTGTTGGTATCTTCGCACACTTCTATACCATATGTCATGATCGGTCGTATGCAAGTATTATGGATTCTAATTTTACTATCTGTGCGCATATACGGATTTGACCAGACTATCTCCCGCAGACATCCTGATAGTGCAGATGCTTTGTTGATCTGACTCCTCAGGTCCTTTACTGGGTCGTGGGTGCTTGATATATATATGCCCAGATATCTGAATTGCATCACCTGTTCTATGGGGTTGTCCTCAACCACTAACTTAAATCTGAGCGGATCTTTTGCTATTGTCATACATTTAGTTTTATTGGTAGAGATGTTCATATTTAGTAGTCGGCTTGTTTGAAAGAACTGAAAGAGCTGCCTTTGGAGATCATCTTCTGATTCGGCAATAATTGCTGCATCGTCTGCGTAACACACCATACCAATTCTTTTGTTGCCCATTCTATATCCGAGATTAAGAGATGTTACTTTGTTGATAATTTTGCCCATGAGAAGATTAAACAAGAAGGGGCTTACACTGTCACCTTGTCTAATTCCTCCCGGTGTTGGAATATTTTTAGTGAATTCGTGTCCTGCTCTAACTTTGGTTATGTTGTTGTTATTTAGGTTATGGAGTATCTTTGTTATACTGGTCGGTGTTTCATTTTCTATTAATATATTTAGAATGTCTCCCAGGCGAACTCTGTCAAATGCCTTCGTCAAATCAATGAAGCAAATATACGCTGGCATGCCGAACTCTATAGCTTTTTCTTTTATTTGTTTTATTATAAATACTGCGTCTGTTATAGACCGCCCTTTTGCAAAACCTTGTTGTTCTTCAGCATTAGTGATTTGCTTTTCCAATTTGTCCTTGAAAATACCCGTGAAAAGTTTCATTGTTGTATTTAAGAGGGTTATTCCTCTATAGTTTTGTGGGCAGGTTTTTGTCCTTTTTTAAATATGGGGATTGTGATACTATTATGCCATTCCTCTGGTGTTTCTGGTTTGTTTAATATTTTGTTAAATAGTTGTGCCAGTTTACTTGCAAGTTCCGGGCCTCCATATTTTAAAAGTTCATTGGGTATACCATCCGTTCCCGGTGATTTTCTGTTTTTTAGCTTTTTGATCTTTGCTTCTACTTCTTCGTCATTGATTGTAGCACTCACATCTGTTTCGCCTTCGTTTATATTCAGCGTTTCTTCAGCATCATATAGCTCTTTAAAATGCTGTTACCATGCCTCTATAGGTACTTCTTTGGTCTGCACGAACTCGTTAACTGTTTTTTTCCTGTTGCGGAGCATTTTCCATACTTTCTTTTATAGGTCGTAGTCCATGTCGCAAGTGAATTTGGCCCAATGTTCTCTTTTGATTGATTTTATTTTGGCGTTTACTTCGCTTCTTATTTGGACATATTCTGCATGAGCTTCTATTGATTGCGTGCTTTTATATCTCAGGTAGCATTTGCGTTTTAATTCAGAGAGTTCTTTTACATCTTGGCAAAACCACGGTTTGGTGTGGTTTGTCGCTCTCGTGTTAATTTTCCGCTTTCCAATCACTTCTTCTGCTGCTTCGTTGATGCATTTCTTAATTTTTTGCCAATTATCTTCTACTCCCCATTCGGGTTTTAAGTCGATCTCTTTTAGTTTGCTGGTAATCCTGTTCTCATAAAGTAGTTTTGTACTCTCTGTTGCTAGCGACTCTATATTATGTTTTTCGATGAACACTGGGGGCTTTCTGTTTCGTTGCGGACGTTCTAGTAGCATTTTGCATAAAACAAGGTTATGATCAGTCCCCAGGTTAGCAGATGTTAGTGCTCTGACATCAAGTACTTGTGACGGAGTTATCGCTCGATTTGTGATTATAAAAGCTATCATTGATCGCTGGCCTCGATTATTGTTAAAAGTGTATTTATGTTTGTCTTTATGAGGAGTATTGTTGATTCTCATTTCATTTTTAGCGCAAAAGTCTATTAGTGCTTCGCCGTTTTCATTAATTATTTCTTCGTTGTACTTTCGTTTTATGCTGGTATGACAACGTTTCCGATCCGTGCATTAAGATCCCCGAAAACGATAATTTTGTGTTTCGTATTTTTGTTATCTACGACGTTTTGTAGTTGCTGATAGAAATTTTCAGTTTCTGCTGTAGGCTTAGATATGTCTGGGGCATACGTGCTTATCAGGTGTGTTGTGATGTTACGCATTTTTATAGAGATTTTTAATAATCTATCGTTGATGTTTTCGATATCTTCGATGTTTTGCGTGTATTTATCGTGCAGCAAAATTCCAACTCCTGAATGCGCTCTTTCTTGTTTAGCTTTCCCGCTGTATATGAGTATAAATTCTCCGTATTTTGATGTTCCTTGGCCTTTTTTCTTTGTTTCGGAGGTTCCGCAGATGTCAATATTGTGTTTCTTTATTTCTATTATGATCTCCTGGTCTCTTCTGTTCCACGATGTAATGTTCCAGCACGCGATTCGTGTGATGGGGTCTTTAGGTTTTTGTTTACCAATTCGTTTTTCCATTGTCATAGCGTGTCTCGTCATCTACACGAATTTGTAAAAACGTTTATTTATTCCATATTGTTATACGGAGTGGAAACATGGACTCTCGGAATTAGAAGTATGAGACGTATAGAAGCTTTTGAGATGTGGGATTTTCGAAGGATGCTGAAGATCTCTTGGACATAGTACGTGACCAACAACGAGGTGCTAAGAAGAATGTGTACTGAGAGATAACTCCTAAATATTGTAAAAAACAGAAAAACGAGTTATCTAGGACATATTTACAGAGAAGAAAAATACAACTTCCTATGACTTATAATGGAAGGTAAAGTGGAAGGAAAAAGAGGTCCAGAAAAAACAAAATGCTCCTGGTTGAAGAATGTAAGAGACTTGAGAGGTATGGACACACATTCGATACTAAGAATAGCTCAAGATAGCAATTTGCTGTAGTTCTAGCCAACCTTCAGTAATAGAGAAGAACCTTCAGTAACCTTAAGAAGAAGAAGTTAAAATTGTTAATTACTTTTATTATACGTTAATCCTGCACATCGAGTAAGCTAATCGAAAGTTCGAGTTAAATATCAGGGTCATTTAACACATATTTATTTCGTTGTTATCGTAGGAGTGAGAGCATAACAAAATACTACTAATGTCGTTGTAACTAAAAGTTTTAACTTATGTTTTAGGAATCAGGTGCCATAGAAGATGTTCAACTAATTGATTTCCAGATGACGTGGTTAGGTACCCCAGTTATGGATCTAGCGTACAGTTTCTATTCAGGCACTGGAAAGGAAAACTTGGACAAACTAGATGATCTCCTAAAAGTATATCACGACAGTCTAAGCGAAACGTTGAAAAGTTTAGACTGTGACGTTGAAAAAGTCTTTCCATTTGATGCACTCAAGAAGGAGTGGAAGGAGTACAATGCGTTTGGTTTTATAATGGGCTTACTCTTGTGGGTAAACAAAACTGCGGAACCTAGAGAGGTATGATTTAAATTTAATAAAATTACAAACTAACACAAGTTTATTAATTTTAAATTTATCATTATTTATTGTTTTGATTTGATTTAAGTTAATTTATTGACAATTAATGACGTTATAACTGTAACTACTAGTTTCAACTATAAGAGTTGAAACCAAATCTTGAATAATATTTTCAGCGACTCTACATTCATCTATCATCAGTGCTTCACTTTTTTTCTTATAAATAAATTTGAGTATTATACAGAACTGAATTGCTATTTGGTCTCATGGAGTTTTTCCATAAGTTGCATTGGAACTAATGACATTACAAACATATACTCTTCTACACTGCACTTTATTATAATTTTTTTACCAAACTTGCTAGGTACGATTATTTTTACCGAACTTCTTTTAAAATCTGGAAAATTCAAGATATTTGCATGGTGCTATACTTTTTCTTGACCCTGTATATTTATCGTTCGTGCTGCTATATAAAGTTTTACTGGTATATTTTCAATTCCTAAAAAACCTTGGGGTATACATGGTAAGAAATTGTTTTTGGTCATATTGAGTATCTGATATTTTTTTTAATTTATGAGCCGTATAAAGTTTTTCTATTTCTTAGAGGTTATTCGGTTAATATGGAACACCCATTCGTATCACAACAGAATTACGTTATAAAGAAAAATGTATTTAATAAATAATAATATGTAGTCAAAACAACAAAAATATATTTAATGTCTTGTCATTTTTTGGCGACAAGAAAACTGGCAAGTAATATTGAATAGTGTTATGTGGTAATATGAGATATTAATAGTGTTATGTGGTAATAATAGTAACCTACGCTGCCCCTGTGTGGTGTAGTGTACTAAACACTGCGAAATACGCTAAGCTGATGGAGACTTCGCAAAGTCGAATGCTCCTTAGGGTGTCTAGTGCATATAGGACAGTCTCTAATGAGGCTCTATATGTCATTGGAGCGGTGATACCGATCGTTTTGTTGTGTAAAGACATCAAGCAAAAAGGCAAAAGAGGGAATCTAATCCTTAAGAAAAGGAGACCAAAAAAGTGGCCTCTGATGGCGGACATATCCGGAAATGCGAATGCGCCAAATTTTAATTTTCCGACACTTATTAACATAGCTATATAATATTTTTCAGAATATGTCTTAGACGAGAAAGTTTTAATTAATTATTAACGATAATATTCTAAAATGCGACAAAATTGTTAAAAAACTTCAATAATAATAAGAGTTCATGTGACATTTGGGACAAACAATAACATAACCCAACTAAATTTGATGTCAAACAAGGAGAGAGACTCTCTTTCCTTGTTTAATGTGGCCTCTAAAGATCCCACTTTCTCTCTAACAATATTTTTCCCCCACTACCTTTACATTCCCTCTTTTGTCTTTTTGCTCGATGTGTAAAGAGCGAGCAACGATGTTTCCGAGGAGGATAGATGTAAATATACATGAGAATGAAAGAAAAACAACGATAGTAGAGTGGCAGATAGAATGGGCGAATGATAGCGGAAAGGCGAGATGGACCAAGGAGCTTATTCCCGATCTGAGACCGTGGTGGGAATGTAAGTTGACTTGACTACTTCCTGACGCAGTTTCTGACCGGACATGGTAGGTTTGGTACCTTCACAAATAGAATAGGCAAATCTGCCTCGGCAGACTGTACTGTTTGTGCAGTACCGGATGCTCCCGCCCACATTTTTAACTGCCAGAGATGGGCAAATGAGATGGGAGATTTCGAGAGGTGAATGGGTTTTAGGCTGGATAAAAGAAACACTGTAAACATAATGTTGAGAGGAGAGAAAGAATGGAGAGAAGTACACTGTCTGATTTCTGGAGCGATGAAGAAAAATGAACAGGAGGACAGAAGATGAAATTAAGCTAGGGATCTAAAAATCTATAGTTAATATTGTTTATTAATTGATGGTCTAACGTCTAAACATTTTCTTATTTACGGTAATAGGTATGGTTATATATAAATTTTTAGTTGTTTATTGAGTGGCAAGACCACCTCTCTGGAACGGTGGTTAAGGTTTAAGCCGGAACATGGTTAATTCGGCACTACCCTGGTGTCTTCTGGCTTAGTATCTCACTCGGCCGAAAGATACCAGGGTGTCTTGTTCCGTGACGTAGAGGTGCAAAAAAGATTTCCCCCACCGTTGCCTGTCAGAATCCAATGGATACCTTCTTAGGCTCTTACTAGAATCTGGCAATATGGAAATTAAAAAAAAATATGAGATATGACAATAAAAAACAAAAATGATAAAGTTTATTGTTTATTTCACAACTTTATTGACTACTATGTATAATAGTCTCAAATGTACATTTCGTTCTAGTTCACTGTACATGCTTCATGTGCCCAGCATTCGCACATGACACATTGAATCCATATTTCTCGGCCTTTACTTTTTAAAACTAATTCGTCACAGATCCCTCATATCACATCTAAGTTAAAGTCTTTAGAAGTCAAATAGGCTACGGGAATATCGTCGTCTAGAGAATCTGGATCGTTTATTTTGGATTTTTTAAAACTAACACGGCCAGTTAGAAATTGTCGTCGGATGAATTTGACCACTAGGTTCTGGTACGTCATCATAAATTCTTTCTACAACAATTTATTTTTGCTCTAAAGCTACTGAAATACTTTGCTTTAACTTTATCTTATTTATCGTAGCTATGGGTATCACTTACCCTCGTTTTTTGCCTCCTTTTTTTTAATACGGTAATGAGATAACAGCTGAGGGAAATGCAGTAATATTTAGCTGACTTTCTGCTTAAAAGTCTTCTCTTTTATATAGAGCCTTATTTGAAACTGTCCTATATGCGCTAGATATGCTGAGGAACATTTGCTTCTGCGAAGTTTCTATCAGCTTAGCGTTTTCTCAGTGTTTAGTACGCTACACCACACGGGTGCAGCGTAGGTTACCACTAACTGGAAAACTCCATTTAGCACCTTTCTTTTTGTGCTACCTGGGTCTCCAATTAATTACTAATAAACTGGGAATAAGCCACAATTAAAGATAAAAATACGTTTATTGACTTTTCAATTTCCACTTCGGAAATCGTTCTCAAAATACAAACAGTAGATTAAACAAATTTTGTTTTTTGTTACATAGTGAAAAATTCTTCTGATCATTTAATTTTATCTGACTCATTTATATTGACAATTCAGACATATATTATGCATTTTAAAGAAGACGACTTTAAAACGATATTGCCAATATTGTTGAGTTGCGCTCCTGGGACGACTTTACTTAAGAGATAGTTCATTCGATTACATGAAATCAACTTTAACTTGAGAATATCCGTCAGAAAAAAAAACATAGCATGTAATTCGTCTTTAAAAAGACAATGACATGACAATGACATAACATGATGACAGTAAAATTCTCGTGTTAGTGATTCCATAGTAAATTATAAGGGAAAAACCAGGAAAAAAAAACCTCATAATACTATCCCGACATTGTAAGTATTTGTTCGTGAATTTAGTTTAACTTCAACAAACATCAAAATTCTGATTTTATATGTTACGTTATTTAAAAAACATAAATGATGTATCCTCTATATTTTACTGACTTACTAATACTGGTATTTTCTTATTAATAACTTCCTCTTTTAATATTGGTAACCAGATCCTACTACATTCTGCCGAGAAATTTGCGACACAATTGGCCTCATTTAGCATAATTAGAGCCGCTTCTTTGATTTTTCTTTTTTTACCATCCGTTTCTTTTAGGACTACATTTGAATTATTTTATTGAACCCTATGTTAATTATCCCATGCGTGTTTACATATTTGAGATCTATCAACTTCTCTATTTTTAATATAAGATTGATGTTCACTTATTCTAACATTTAATGGCCTTGATGAATCACCTAAATAAAACTGATCACATTCACAAGGTATTTTTTAAATGCAATTCTTTGTCCTTTCTTGTTCATTGTTAGGTTTGGTTTTGGATAAATTAGATCTCAACGTGTTTGTTGTTTTGAATGTTGTTGAAATGTTGAATTTGTTTCCTATCCTTTTAAGTTTTTCTGATAGTCCTTTTATGTACGGTATTGTTATTTTCCTCATATTATTCCTTGTGCATGCTGTAGGATCTCGTTCTACGATCCTACAGCAGTTGTAGGTTGTTCTGTTCTATTCGATCGATTGCTGAAAATTCCTTATTTATAAACGGTAAAGGATAATCATTTTTTAATAAAACATATGTTAACAAATGTTTCTCCTCCAAGAACGAATTTTCGTTAGAACAAGTAATTTTGACTCTATCGTATAAGGATTTAATTTATATTAAGGATCTAAGTCGTTACTACCAACAGTCATTTTTAAATACAATGATCAATCTCTTAACAAAACAATTTTTATAATACATAATAAAAACACGAGAAAACCTTGAAATTGTGATATCTGTCTGATAACCACCTGTCTGTCTTTCTGCCTCTATGTGCGATAAATCTTGAAATAAAAGTTCTAATATCTTTAAACGTAATACACCTATTTCTCTTTTTCTTTTTTTTATAGACATGATTTTGTTTTCCAATGTGCTTTCAGTAAGTTGTAATTCAAACGTTTTCGTAGCCTTCGTAAGGCATGCGAAACATAAATATACCGGTTTTTTGTATTCTAATGATTTCTCTTATCTTGCACTTGCCATTATAAATATAGCTTTGATGTATGATCTCGATATCGACCTAAAACCTTGATGTTCTTATGCTAATGCTTTGGCTGTTGGTTTTGGTTGTTAACATTAATGCCTCTGTAATTCTACGGATTCCATTTGTCTCGTTTTTTAAAAAGAATTATTGGGGTGCTCCATTTTTGTGATATTTTGTTTTGTTGTACTATTTGTTTGATTAGTTTTAATAGTTGTTTGGTCAGATCAGGTCCTTTGTACTTTAGGAGCTTATTCGATATTATTTCCCATCTTGATAGCAAAATAAAACATATTGTTAAATTTTTGATAAATAGACCAGAGATAACCAAGGTACAAGTCGATGTAAATTATTGAAACTTGATAGAAATACTATACAAATTCTATACAAATACTATAAATACTTAAATGCTAAGTTTATTGGTTAATTGCCTTTAACTTATAATATTTTTAGATACCTAATATTAGCGAGATAATGGATCAACCTAAAGATGATAAACAAGAAGACAAGGAACATTTGGGACTTCAAATGGACCATGCCTTCTTTTGTAAATCGACTATTCCCATAATAAAACATATGTGTGATAATAATTTTTTGTAACTTCATTAACTTATTAATTTTAAGTATTTTATAACTATATAATAAATTAGAAACTTAATTTAATTGTTTTAATTATATTTATACTTAAATTGAATTAGAAACATGGACAAAGCAGAACGCAGTTTCCATATCACAATTTGCGATATGGAAGGTACCGTTTTTTTACGTACTAAAACCAAAAGTATTTTCTAAATAATCATCGAAATGGCTTATAAATGGCCCGAGTACAGGCACTCCTTAAATAAAGCAGGGGCGCTAAGAATCTCCCGAATAGCTTGAAGCATGAATACATTTTCTAATTAAAGAAAAATAGATACATGGAATGTAAGGAACATGTGCCAACTAGGAAATGGTTAAAACACCATAAAAGAAAGAAGACTCTAAATATAAATATGCTTGGAATAAGTGAAATGGAAAGAACAGGGTATAACAAAGTAAATATTGACGATCTCATAATATACCATTCAGGAGAAGATAGTATAAAATACAAAAATATTGTAACATTAATTGTAACGAAGGAAACAGATTAAGCTGTAAAAAACATTATAATATTCTCAGAGAGCATACTTATGATAGAAATACAAACAAAAACAATAAATGTAAATATATTACAAGCTTATTTCCCAGAAAAATTTAAAAATTCTATCATGATTAAAAACAATTTATGTATATTTATATTCTTTATGGATAAAAAGGATTCAAGGATGAAAAAGCTTGAGAAGAAAGAAGAAATCTTGACTGAGAAATATTCAGAGATTCAACTAACCTTAGTTTTGAACTGATATTTCACAATGTAAAATATATAGAATCGTTTAAAGAAGTGATAGCCAACCTTCGTTAGGAAGATTGAAAAAAAGAAAGTAGTGAACAAGCTATGCAGCTAAAACCAATGACCTCATGAATTGATCTGCAAATAGGATCATGAAATTGAAGGGGGCTGAAACAAAATATCAATACTCTCAAAACATAAAACTTAATATCTAGGCTAAATGTGCTTTCAATAGAAATAATCATATGGCATTATCAGAAGATACAGGCATTCTCGTGAAAAAGGGAATAGAACATCAAGCAATTGCTACAGCGGATGATTTGTAGGAAAAGTAATTTTAGCATATGTCAGACAGCATGATCCAATCTATATAAGGACCTGAAAAATTATTTTGAACACAGAGGAGAACACCATCATCATCAGAGATCGAAACGCGAGATCGTCCAACTTGTTCGACAGAACTACAAATCGTAATGGAAGACTGGTGTGTGACTATCTCGAAGACAGATACAACACAACCGTGATAGGGCTATGGAATCTAGGTTGTGCACGTGTATATTTGTATATCTTCTTCTTTCAGTGCCCTGTCCGATTATCGAACGTTGGCGATCATATAGGCAATAATAACCTTATTCACGGTGGCTCTAAATAAATTAAAGGTGGTTTCTTGATACCATTCTCGAAAATTTCGTAGCCAGGATGTTCTTCGTCGGCCTGGGCCTCTCCTTCCGTCGATCTTACCCTGTATTATTAGGTGTAGAAGGTTATACCTCTCTGGATGTCTTATTACATGACCGAAATATTGTAACTTCCGAATTTTTATCGTTTTTGTTATTTCTGTGCTCTTTTTCATTCGATGTAAAACTATTTCATTACTCATTTGATCAACCCAACTTATCCGCAATACTCGTCGATAAATCCACATCTCAAAGGCCTCTAATCTTTTCATTAATGTCTCTGTAAGGGTCCAGCTCTCCATATCATACAGCAATGTGGAGAATATGTAGCAGCGTATTAATCTGATTTTAAGATTTAACGTAACATCTCTATTAATTAGAATTTTCTTTAATTTATAGAAGGCGGCTCTGGCTTTTTCAATGCGTATTCTTGTATTATTATTTCTTTATTTATATCCCAGTTATCGTTAACGTTTGCACCCAAGTAGGTAATATTGTGGACTCTTTCTAACTCTATGCCATAATTTCCGAAGTGGAAATTGAAAGGTCAATAAACGTATTTTTATCTATTCCATACGCTCTGATGTTCGTTGGTTGTAACTCCGTTTTGCTGACAACCATAAATTTTGTCTTTAGACAAAATTTATGGTACAGTCTGTCCCAAACCCTTTTTTCAGTGCTTCACTAATTTTGACGTCATATAGGATTTAAAGAATGTCGAGAGTTATTGCATGACATTTTAGTTAAATCTGACAGTTGCAGGATCGTAATCGACTAAATGTGAAAAGGTTATTTTTTTTTAATGCAATAGCAGTTTGTCATAATTCTGTTCTATTCTGTTCTATTTTATACATTCCAAGGAAAGTGCTTAATTAGCTAAGATTTGTTTATAGATTTATTATTATTTATTACAAACACACAGGCATATTGCAATGACAATTGCAATTGCAAGGCATCAAAGTAAACATTCCTGTGATAAAATAACATCGATTTAAATCAGTCATATTTGGATAAGTAATTTTCTGATAAGTTTCTGTGGCAGCCAATAGTTTAGTTTTGTGAAGATTTGTCATTAAATAGTGGAAATAGTTTAAATAGTGAAGCAGTTGATTTTTGAGTTATTCTACCAGATTTGGTGTGCAAATGAAAGAAGATTATAAAGTTTAGTTAAAAAAACAATATAAATAGTTTAAATAGTGAAGCAGTTGATTTTTGAGTTAATCTACCAGTTCCGGTATCCAGATGAAATCGTGTTAATGGAGTTTAGTTAAAAAACAAGATACCGAATGTAAGTTTACCTTCTTTTTTATGAATAACAAAAATGAATATTATATTTCAAACAATCCATAATCCCATTCAGAATCTGATTCTTTAAAGTCAATGATTACACTAGATATGTGACTATACATATAAATATCCATAACGGTATTAGTTTAAGATATTTTCTCAATATCATTCCGGAATTCACAATCTGATTCGCGAACGACAGAAACTGATAATAAAAATAACTCAGCCTCTTTTCTAATTGAAACTAATTTAATAATTTTAATATTAGTCTTGTTCATTCTCGGTATATCTCGGAATATTTAAAATATTTTTATGACAATAAATACAAAATTTAATTTTCACTGTAGGTAAAATGTCTGAAAATACTAACCTGGAACGGAATATAATCATTTTATCAGTTGACAATGTGAAAGTACTGTCACTGTCATCATCAAGATCATCTGTGTCAAATTATATTTATATGCATAATTGATTGGATATCTATTTAGCGTATTCTAAACTCCAACCAATTATACGTTCGTAAGTAGAATTCGCTTTAATATGCGAATACCCGTGACCGATACCTAATTTTCTAAGTTCTATGTATAATAATCAGAGACTCACGTTTTTTCTGTCACTTCTAGCGTTAGAGAGAATTCGAACAACTATGACGGACTGAAAGAAGGGTTTGGGACGAACTGTATGTGTATATGCCTGTGTAAATTATAGAGATTTCATTCCAATAAATACATCACATAAATTATATCCTATACATGAAATTATAAACAAGAGGCTAACAACAACTGTTAGGTGCTACTATTAGAAAAAGAGAATTGCTTTTGTAAAGAAAAAACCTGCAATAATAAGTAAAAATGACGTAACTCAAAATTATTTAAAGTAAGTTAAAATTAGTTAATATTGGTTAATGTTAGTTAAAATTAGGTAAAATTAGCTAAAATCAGTTAAAATTAGTTAAAATTAGGTAAAATTAGGTAAAATTAGTTAAAATTAGTTAAAATTACTTAAAATTAGTTAAAATTAGTTAAAATTACTTAAAATTAGTTAAAATCAGTTAAAATTAGTTAAAATCATTTAAAATTATTTAAAATTACTTAAAATTAGGTAAGATTAGTTAAAATTAAATTAAATTATTTAAATTTAGTTAAAATTAGTTAGAATTAGATAAAATTAGTTAAAATTAAATAAAATTTGTTAACATTAGTTAACATTAGTTAAAATTAGTTAAAATTAGTTAAAATTAGTTAAAATTAGTTAAAATTAGTTAAAATTAGTTAAAATTAGTTAAAATTAGTTAAAATTAGTTAAAACTAGTTAAAATTAGTTAAAATTAGTTAAAATTAGTTAAAATTAGTTAAAAATTAGTTGGAATTAGTTTAAATTAGTTTAAATTAGTTTAAATTAGTTTAAATTAGTTTAAATTAGTTTATTTTAGTTTAAATTAGTTTAAATTAGTTTAAATTAGTTTAAATTAGTTTAAATTAGTTTAAATTAGTTTAAATTAGTTTAAATTAGTTTAAATTAGTTTAAATTAGTTTAAATTAGTTTAAATTAGTTTAAATTAGTTTAAATTAGTTTAAATTAGTTTAAATTAGTTTAAATTAGTTTAAATTAGTTTAAATTAGTTTAAATTAGTTTAAATTAGTTAAAATTAGTTAAGATCAGTTAAAATTAGTTAACATTAGTTGAAATTACTTAAAATTAGTTAAAATCAGTTAAAATTAGTTAAAATTAAAAAATGAGGTAAATTAATCTTACAATGATGGAGAGAGGAACAAAAGTGATTAAATAAATATAAAATCTCACTAAACGATATTTTAAAAACGGCTTACAATTAAGGCTGTTTTAGCAGTTCAAGCACACTGCGACTTGAAATGGGCGTATCAGTTACTTTTCTACACTGCTTACGCGAGACTGTCTTTACTCAGTGGCGCAGTCGACGGCTAGTTTAATGATAACAAATGCATTACTCTCCATTCAAATTAGGTTTAACATGAACTAACTGACCGTACGTTCATCAGATTTGACGTCACGAAGACGATAACGGTGAAAATAAACGACAATGATGAGTACCACGTTTCACTATTAGATTTTAGTATTTTTTAGCAATTTTCTTCAAAGTTGGAACACGCTCTTCTGGATTATTACTGGACACGGAAAGGTGAAAAAAGAAAAATCAACGATTACAGAAAAAAAACTCTTTCAAGTGATAGGCGTAAAAAGTTTGGTTATACTGGAACGTTAAACAGTATAATCCAATTTTTCAACAGAAGTTAAAAAAAAAATAAAAAAAGTAAAACCATCATTTTAAAAGCAACATAATTTCGAATATTGTGTCCAAATTTCGAGACATTTTGTCGGTAAATAACAGTCCCTAGGTTTTGGTGCACCAATAAAACAGCCTTAAGTAAAAACTTGTAATGGTATAAAATTTTAGATTAGAAAACTATTCAAAATGAAATTATAAATTTTCAGAATTTTTTCGATCATATTAGATCATCAATAGTGAAAAACCTACAAATAAGTATATCTATTTAAAAATGAAGCTAGCCACATAATGAGGACAGATGACCCTTAAATGTTTGGGTAAAAAACAAAAGTAGTGACCTTTATATGAATATTGTGAGAGTGTAATTACCGTTTAAATTATCATCCTGAAGTGATAGTAATAGAAACAGTGGCAATATTTAGCGCACCTACCTAAAATCATTCTTGTATATTCAATTGGGTGGACTGTGTTCATTTCTTTGTATTTAATTTGTTCCAAATATGTAATATGTTTGTTGATGATTTTACTTAATTCTTCTTGGTCTTATTTTACCTGCAGTTATGTACTGAATGACCAGAAAAATAGTTGATTTTTCACTTGCATATTATTTGTTTACCTCGAGCCAAAGGCCCTCTGGCTGCATTATGTTACTCTCAGGGCGTAACCTAACTATTATGTTAATTCATAACGCACATGTTTTCTTTATAGCTACGTTCAGTTTGTTCTAGTTCTGTGTTAAATAATTTTATCTTATATATTGTGTTGTATAATATTTTTTCGTAATCTTGTTAAAGATAAAAATAATGCTAATTACATTAAAACATCAGTAGTTTTACCTAGAGAATTCATTGGTTTTACAGTTTTAGATTAACAGAGATAACTTATCATATACAAAGATAAGTACCTCTCACAGTTTGATATAAAACAGACAGAAAGTCAAAAATAGCGAAAAGTAAATTGTAAAACAAGTTTTCAACTACCAGAAAAATGACACAAGTCTTATCAAAAAACCTTAGTGATTTATTAGAATGTGCTTTAAATGAAAAAATTGAAACTTTTGACATACAGATAGAAGGCAATGCTACAGGTGAGGGTTATTTAGGAGAAGTGGTTTTTATAACATTAACTAACAAAAGCACCAACAAAATTGACAATGTAGTTGTTAAACAGGTACTTGAAAGCTCTACGGAGAATACTATGAACTTCATGTCATCAACTTACATGAATGAAATTCACTTCTACAAAAAGTTTCTCCCAGGTATACAAGACTTTCAGAGAACATATCCACGGGCCGAAATTTTTAACCATGCTCCCAAATGTCTGGCTACATGTCGAGAAAGAGGAAAAGAAAAGTTAATGTTGGAAAACCTTAAGTTTAGAAATTTTACTTTGCATCCTAAAAAAGAATTCGTAGGGTATAAAATGTTCGAAACTATATTTAACACATACGGAAAGTACCATGGAGCTTGTTTAGCCTTTAAACATAGCCAACCAGAAAAGTTTCTGGAATTGGCAAATGGTTTTCAGAACAACTTTAAAAATTTTATTAAGGCTGGTATGTATTTTTACTTTTTTATTTTATACTACATATATTTTATTTAATTATCATTTTCTAAAAAAAAACATTTCTTGTTTTATATCTTCCTACCTGTGATTTCGTCTACCTTTTTGTGAACGTTTTTTCCCGATTCTGGCCTTACCCATTCTTAATTTCTTTACTTGCCATTTTGTGAATGCTGTAACGGGAGTTAATTAAGCATCCAGAAGTCAGATCTAAGCATGGACGTATAAATAAAGATGGACTAGGCATGCCCTAGATGGGAAATGAAGGATAGGAAATGAGGCGGAAATAATATTAACTATTAAAAGACGAAAACTTGAGTACTTGGGACATGTGATGAGAGGGCAAAAATATGCATTATTACAATTTATTATGCAGGGCAAAATCCGAGGAAAGCGAAATGTGGGAAGACGAAGAATATCCTGGCTTAAGAACTTAAGGGAATGGTTTGAATGCAGTAGTGCAGAAATTTTTAGAGCGGCAGTCAACAGAGTCCGCATAGCCATGATGATTTCCAACCTTCGATAGAAGATGGAACTTAAAGAAGAAGAAGGCATGCCCTGCACTCTGTTCACCTAAATTTGAAGTCGAAAAGTTTATAGGCGCGGGGAAAGAGACGAGGTGATAGACTGTGATATTTCCTTTTAAGCCAGCGGCGTACCTTCCAATATTTGAAAGTTATTTAAAACAGTTTTTTCACTTGAATAAATAATGACTATTGGTTTGACTTTTGCTTTTGCTTGCTTTTATTTTTAGTATCGTAAACATATGAAATATTTCGAATAAGTGAGAAACAACAAACGGTGAATAATTTTAATTTTCAGTTTATAGAAATATATTTATAAAAATTAATTTACATAAAAGAATAAAGATGGAGTAAATAAAATCGTAAAGTACTTTATATAATATTTTATTTAAACTAAAATATCACACAAGCAATAAAAAGTTTAAAAAATTCTTCCCCAAACATTAACCTGTTCAGGGTATTGAGTATGTTCTGCTCTTATCCAGTGAGTGATAAGTTGAAAAAATATAGTGAATTATGGTATGGTGTATAACTCCAGCTTAATTGTTAGTTGGCAACATTAGTATGTCACGTTAGATATAGCAGTAGAAGAAGAAAGATAAAAATTCAGGAATATGTATTTAAGAAAATATTAATAAACGTAATAAAACCATAAACCATTGTTTAACAAAACATAAACAACAAACCACATATACAACAATATATAAAACACATTAAACCTTATGGAACGGGTAGGGTTCTAAAATAGAAATATGCTTTATTGTCACTGAAAATTATACAATGCTTACAAAAAGTAAAAAAAAAACAACAATAACAATTAAAATTTACTAAAATTACAAAAATCGTCAATATCACAAAATAAAAGATAGTAAAATATACAATTCATTGTAAAATCTAATTGTTGCATAATAAAACCTTACGAAATAGTTTACGAATAAGTTTTAGTTGCTGCACGTGATACACAAATATATATATATATATATATATATATATATATATATATATATATATATATATGATTTCAGATGTTTTCCGGGTTTGACTCCGCGTTAAATAGTTTTGGTTTTTACAAAAACCATTGTTTTGACGACGTTTCGGCAAGGTCACACTTGCCACTGTCAAGTCAGATTAGTTCTGCTTCGTTCAGTTCTCCTGAAACATCAAGACAAAGCAGAACTAATTTGACTTGACAATGGCAAGTGTAACCTTGCCGAAACGTCGTCAAAACAATGGTTTTTCTAAAAACCAAAACTATTTAACGCGGAGTCAAACCTGTAAACATCTGAAATCAGCTGCCGCGGAAATTTCAAACCCAATATATATATATATATATATATATATATATATATATTCGGATACATTTCTGCGGTCAGATGAATAACTCATCCTTAGTTACCAATCTTCCAGAATACTCTTCCACTGAATAATATGGTCTTTGAGATAGATAGATTTTTGTCATTTTACGGAACTTAAGGATAGAATTTGTAAGTTGCAGAGGGGGATAATTGTATAATTTTTTTGCAGAATATAATATAGATTTCTTTACTAAATCAGTGAACGAGATCGATAATTACACATCAAAGGTTGAATTTCTGGTGGAGTAGTCATGATTGAGTCTTGTTAGAAAAACATGTAGGTATTTACCAATTAAGAAAATAGTTTCTAGAATATACGAAGAGGGAAGAGTAAAAATCCCGTGATATGTGAAGTAGCTTCTACAATGTGTTATTCTTCTGAGTCCAAGAAGATACCGTATTGCTCTTTTTTGTAATTTAAAAATAACATTATATTGGGCAGCTGTACTAGAACGGCAAAAAGGAAGGCCATATCGAAGATGAGACTCGAACAAAGAAAAATATGTTATTGGAAGATGCTAACTTGATTTCCTCTAAAACTGCATAGCAGGCTGAAACTAGTTTATTACTTAACTAATTGATATAAAGGAACCATTTAAGGTTGTTGTCTGTAAAAAATACCATGAAATTTTACAGAATCAACGATACTGATCCGGCTATTATTAAGAAGCAAGGGTTGAAGAGCTCGTTTATAGGATAATGCTACTGTCTTATTCACGTTAAAAGATAGTAAATCAGAGTCGGACCAGGTATTTATTTTAAGTTGATCAGAAGTTATAATTGCATAAAGAGTTGCAATATTAGAGTTCCTCTAGTTAATACTGGTATCATCAGCAGAAAGAAAAATTCATCGCTGCTAGACATGTCTTCAACGGTTTTATTTCTAAAACATACTCTTAATTAGATAATCACAATCCTTGTTTTTATAAATTAAACTAAAAACTCACTTTTTATAAATATTACGTGGAACATATGAAAAAGTATTATCACCAAGTAACAACTCTACAGTTTCAGTTTCTGATGCTGTAATCGTGCTCGAAGATGCGTTTTCTGTATCTATATTTTCCTTGTTGTCTTCATTGTCATTTAAACATCTAGAATATTCAATTTATGTACATTAAAGAAGAGTATTAAAATTGGTTTAAGATTGAAATATTCTCATACAAAATATAGCCAAAACTCACCGCCTTTATAATAGTTTAGGTGAATTAGATTTTACATTAAAGCCCAAGTTTGTCTCCATATTACATTCTTCAGTATCAATAAAACTTCTAAAATATTTTAATATTAAAATGAAATAAGTAATCAAAATCCACATTTAGATTTTATTTGTAAATTTAATAATCAAATTCGATACAAACCCATCCTTTTGAAGGTCCATAAAAATCATCCTTGTCAATACTACTGGAAGCTGTTGCTTTAGTTTCCATATCGCTTGTAGAACTACAACATTGAATTATTAAAAAAAAAAAAGACATGCTATCAATATTATGGAATATGCTACGAGTATGCATTATATTTGGATAAATTTAATTTTCTTACAATGATTATAACCTATAGATATGTATATATTTCATTGAAATTAATATATTTATAGCAATTATAGTGTAGATTAGAAAAAATAAATAAATGAATTTATAATACTACAAAATTCATGTCAAGCATTAAGTATTATTACGTCCCTGTACTACGCCTCTGGACATAATTACAATGCTTTTAATACTTACGAATGAAATGACAGTTCTGGATGTAAATATAAAGTTTTCCTGCATACAACACAGTTACGCACCATTATTACACTATCAACTATTCTTCACTTCTAATTTAAAATATATTAACAAATTCAGTAAAATGTCACAAACAAGGAAATTATCAACTCAAAGATAAAATATACAACGCCATATTCCTTTGCGTCAAATCGCTAGGATTGGTTGATATTACCAATGATGCCAAGTTTTACAAAAGTTAAGATTATCAGAATATATTTTCTTTTAATAAATTAAAAAAATAATTTTTTTCTTTTAATTCCTTGGTTGCGAAATGAGTATATCTAAAAATAGTTTATACTAACTAGATAATACATTTTTACTTATAGATTAAAAATAAATTACACTAAAAATCGAAAATTATTTCGAAGATTGACTCGGAAAAAAAAATAATATGACAACGTCAAATTAGGGATTTGTGTCTATGACTGTGAATATCTCATGACTTCAAGTATAGATGTAAACAGACCGGTCCATCTTTATTTATACGTCCATGGATCTAAGTAACTCAATTCAGTTTAAAAATTTATCATTATTTTGACAATAATAATTATTGCTTATTGCTCAATGCGATTGTTTGTTTATGACATTGACAATCTTAGTGTAACTAGAACACGCTTACCGAGACGCTGGCCTAGTTAAATTTGCAATGTAATATTGTGAACAAATTATATTAGTAAAACAGGAATGCATAAACAAATGCACCTGCGTTAAATACCTGGAAAATAGCAGGAGTTGATCATTAAAAATTAAGAATTAACAGTCGAAGCTAGTGTTGTCATCCGTCAATTGGCTACTCTCTCTACTATTGTACTTAATCAATAAAGTAATTATTAGTATCCAGTGAGTTCGAGTTAATCAACCCCATGCTAAGCTACTAACTAACCCTACAGTTCCACTATAATATGGAACTCCTGATGAAATCAATTCAATAAACATGATATGATTATCCAACATTATTATATTGTCACGACTTTTTCTCGGATCATAATTAAATTTTGTTTATAAAATACTCTTTCTTTAATATTTTGATTTTGAATTGGTTGGCGCGAACATTTCTGACGGCGAGATTTTGATTCGTGGTGAAGTAGACGATAGTTTCTTTATAAGCGGTCTTCATGTTGTTTCAAGTTTCCACAACCATTTCACGACCACGCTGGAACTTTAACAAAGGTAACTGGCCTGTCTTTACCAATGAACTCGATAAAATCTCACGATGGATTCCCCCACATACAAAAATTATGAAAGGTTTAGAGGGGCAATAATTGCTACAGCAAAGAAACACATTCCCAGGGGCCATCGTAAGCAATACATACCAGGATGGAGTGAGGAAATCCAAAACCTCTACGAAGAATATCTTGAAACCGGTGAAAGTGACATTGCGGACGAACTTCTCCTGAGCCTTGATGTAGCAAGAAGGAAGAAATGGACAAATGAAGTCGAATCGTTAGATTTCAAAAAGTCTAGCTGTAAAGCGTGGTCGCTCCTAAGAAAACTCGGAAGTGACAAACTGGCAACACGAAAAATCCACGACTTCAACCCTAATAAAATTGCATCACATATAGTTGCCACCTCCAGAGGAGCATGTGATAAAAAGTTTACCACTACTATAAAAAGGGAGCTTAAACATCTAAAAGCTGCCTGTCCATCAGATACAGAGTACTCCGCAGCGTTCACTCCAGAAGTATCAAATGCCATCAAAGACATTAAACCTAACAAAGCTCCTGGTACAGACGGTATACCTCCCGAATTCCTGATTCATTGTGGGAAATCTGCAAAACCTGGTTGTCTAAATTCTATACAGATATACTCAAAACAGGTAACCTACCAAACCTCTTTAAACAAACAAAAATCATAGCCATCCTGAAACCTGGAAAACCAACAGACAACCTAGCGAGTTACCACCCCATCGCTTTACTCAGTGCAGCTTACAAGCTCCTCGAAAGACTGGTCCTGAACAGAATCGGGCCAAAGCTACTCCAAAAAATACCAATTGAACAAGCAGGATTCAGGCCTCAACGAAGCACCACTGACCAAGTGCTCTCTATAACTATCTAGAGGCAGGTTACCAAAGAAAACTGAAGACATCTGTGGCATTCATCGATTTATCGGCTGCCTATGACACGATTTGGAAAGATGGCCTCATCTATAAGCTCCTTAAAATAATCCCCTGCAAAGCAGCCGCCCGACTCATAAATACTATGCTGAGCAGTAGAAACATCCATGTAACCATGGGAACTACAGTGAGCAAACAAAGAACGCTTAATAATGACCTCCTCCAGGGCTCCGTACTTGCACCGCTGCTATTTAATATGTATATAGCTGATATGCCCCCTACCAGATCTAAAAAATTTGGATATGTAGACGACTGGGCACTTACAACTCAAAGCTCCTTAATACAAAACTCCGAGGCAATCCTAACGGAAGATCCGGAACGCCTGGTTAAGTACTTTAAACAATGGAGACTTAAGCCTAACCCCAAAAAAACCGAGGTTAGCTGTTTTCACCTGAACAACAAAATGGCCCACACAAAACTTAAAGTATACATTGATAACCAACTGCTCACGCACAACTATAATCCCAAGTACCTCGGCGTCACCCTGGACAGAACACTCTCCTTTAAGAAAGATCTTGAGAACACCGCAGCAAAGCTGAAAACCCGTAACAACATCATACAGAAACTTTGCGGGACTACATGGGGCTTATCAGCAGGTACACTTCGGTGTTCAGCCCTTGGACTCGTATACTCCGCAGCTGAATACTGCTCTCCTGTTTGGCTGAATAGCGTTCACACAAAAATTGTAGATACCCAGCTCAATGTCGCCATGCGTCTCATATCTGGAACGATCAAGTCTACACCTGTGGAGTGGCTTCCACTACTGAGCCATATACCTCCACCTAATCTTTGTCGTCAGCATGCTCTGCTTAGAGAATTCCAAAAGCTGCTTAACAACCCGCAATTACCTATACACACATATGTCGCCGACGCTAATTCACATCGATTGCGCTCCAGAAAACCTCCGACTAGAGATGCAATAAACTTGAGTTCCAACAATTTCCAAATGAACTCCCAGTGGAAGAACATGCAGAGCGACAGACCGAACCTAATAATGAGAAACACACCATGCATCACAGAAACTCCACCAGGTTTTGACCTGCCCCGAAAATTATGGTCAACTCTTAACAGGATAAGAACGGGTCATGGAGTCTGCGCAGATTCCCTTTATAAATGGAGGATGTGAACCTCTGCTGAGTGCGACTGCGGCGCCGAGAAACAGACCATCCAGCATATGATGGTCGAATGCCCTCGGAGGAAGTATTATGGAGATCCTCTAGACTTCGCCTCTGCAACACCAGCGTCGATTGAATATATTAATACATTAGAAGTTAGATTGTAACATATATGTGATAATGTTGTGTATCAAATTGCCATACGCTAAATAAAAAAAATAAAATTTTAAAGTAACCAGATGCCGACATCTCTATTATTGGAACAATTTAGTTTTTTTTATTTCTCTGGCTTTATAAAAAATTATTGATTTATAAAAGAGAGTTGAGGCTAAGGTTCTGGAGTAATTTAAATTTTCTGATCTATATGGAGATGTGTTGACCTAGAGCTGAAATTGAATCAGAATTTCGAACAAAAGTATATTGTTCATAAATACTATTTTGTAATATATTAATTGTTTGGTCTATATAAGACAGAAAGCAACCTGCACAAAGAATTTTTCATAAATTCCGTTATGTTTATTTGGAATGTTGTCTCTGATCGGACAAGAGATACACGTTTTTATTAGAAGGTAAATATGCATTGTCTTTATTACTCTTGATTTAATAATTTTGCCGATTTTCTCAGTGACACCTTTAATGTAAAAATGAAAAGCTTTCTTAATACTGTGTTTGAGATAAGTTTTCTTGTTGGATACTGTATTTAGTTTTCAAAATATTTAGAGATTTGTCTATAGGAATGTTTGCAAAGAGTAAAATTATATTATTACAATATCTGACTGTAAGATAGGGTATTTTGATAAACCGAAATGCAGATATCGAGCACTGTATTTATTAATTAAATCTTGCCCAAGTACTTTCGCTTCCTAGAGCATCTTCAGAGGCATTTCGTCAAATTTTGGGCTATCCAACAATCGCAGAATGTCATAGACTTAATATTAAACATACAATTAAACATAACACTACACTAAACAAGAACAAACTGTTTAAAATTATTTAAAAAATAGTGGAAGCTACATTCCGGTCGGCAACAGGAGAAAGAATGTCTCCCGGTATTAATGGAAATGTAAAGGTGACTAGTAAGACTGTAAGACCTTTGTTCTTACAGTTTGTCTCAAAGTTGTATTTTGACATCGAAATTTCTGTTAATCCACGTAACTATGATAGCCTGCCAGTTTATGTTGTGTGGGATGGGATGATGAATTGTGTACATTCGTGTCAGTATGTGTAGGTTTATAAAATATGGAGAAGACATGTCTGTTTTTAATTCTGATAATTTTTAAATCTTTAAAATTTATACATTGATTTTGTTTTGTTTCTATTGTTAATTCAATATGTTCATGAACTGAATTAATCTACGTTAAATATTGGTCAAGTTTTCTATCATAGACAAACAGTTCTTCCTCCTCCTATTTCATTAAAGACTATAAGGTGTAAACGCATGCCAATAATAGATCACTGGGGAAATGCAATCAACCGAAACAGCTGTAAATATCAGATTTTATAATAAATTTTGTGTGTCTTTAAAACAAAGTTTTTAGTGCTTTAAGCCGGATTTATAAACGGACATAAACATAATTTTAGTCTTTAACCATAATCTTATTATATAAGCATAATGTTAAAAGTTAATAAATAAATGTACCCATTTAAAAGCATCCATAATACATAAGACATAAATTTAGTCCTTAAAACGTGACCTTGAAAGTTGGTAACTTTCAACATTTATGAATTAAGTATTAAACATTATGGAATTGTTGGAATATGCGCATGCGTTGGTAGAATCATCTGCAGTTTTCTCCTATACATAACCCTACTATTTTAATTTAATGTTTTTGGAGCGAATTCAACCACATATTTATTTATTTCACTTTTCTATGAATCTAAAGACCAGAAAAAAATTCTTCATGCTCTATAAAAATTTGGTTAGGTTTGTATTTTCTGAAGTAGTTCTTAAATATTATGGTTATGTATTATGTCTAGTTATAAACCAATCTTAAATCTTATGAATTATGATTGTGGTTGAAGTTATGTTTATGACTTATGATTATGTACTATGTCCGTTTATAAACCTGCCTTTATTGTTACGTAAAATAAAATTCCAATAAGTAACGGTCGAATGCATTAATTATCCTTATAACTTAACTTATTTAATTTTTGTTTAATAATTTTAATTCCTTTCCTTATTTTATTGTAGGTGTATTGAAGGGAGCTATACTTAAAATGTGTTCAATGGTAAAATCCATATTGAAGGAGAAACAACCAGAATTATATGAAAAGTTTATACCATTTGCTGATAATGCTGTAGAAAAGTTCTTGAATTGTTTAGATTATAGAAGCCCATATTCTGTAATTACTCATGGTGATTGTTGGAGTAACAATATGATGTTTAAAATAAACGTGAGTATAGTACATAATATATCGTACTAATAGTACAATAGTGTCGTAACTCAAAAAAAAGATTTTTCAGAATCAACGAAAAACTTATTAATCATTTCCTGTTGTAGGTAAACAAAAAATTAATTCATAATATGTTTCTAATTAATATTAAAGGAAGGTTCTTTGTACCATTATTTAAATAAAAATACTAACAGTAAACGTATTTAAAAATTTTGCGTTAACACTATATTGCTCTAAGCAAAATGTTCGAAATGAAATATTAGTTTTAGTTATGACATTATTTATGAAATTTTTGGTGTTACTACAATTTGATATAGTATTTTTGTCTGCAGTTTACGTTAGTTTTTGGACTTACAACAATTTTAGGAACTGATTCTTGGTATTTGTTAACATTGAATATAAAGATACTGTATTACACGTTAACAATTATTACCGAGAATTTTTGTTTTGGTATTAATAAATAAATCAAGACTGTTTTAATTTTGTTTATATCATAATCAAACAAATACAGATACAGATAACGAAATCCAGTATTCTTAAGCATTTTGTACTTAATCAATATATTTACGTTGTTTGCCATGTTTTCCGCGTAATTCATCTTGTATTAAGCCACACTCTGTTTTTTGTATAGGGCTGTAGCAATGGGTCGATCGTTTATAGCAAGAGTATTTTTAAAAAATGTTTGCTAACTTTAATGTGACCATTGGTACTGTAAAATTAAAGCCAGTGTTTATTTTGCGAAAATTTTGTAGTAAAGTATATCTGTATTTGGTTTAATTTCTATAGTATGTCTAATAATGAATTATCTTTGTTTTTGCAAATCTCCCAAAACTCCAATACTATATAAAAATACTAATAATACCAAAATAAAATAATATACCAAATAAAAATATCTTATCTTGATGTACCGTTCATTCGTAAACGACAGTTTAACCTGCATTTTTCGCCACAAATCGGGTCCAATGTCCTTACAGGTACTTGTTTTTTGTTTACAGATTCATACGATTTTCATTCATACGATTCATTACGCAGGTTGTAATATTACGTATCCTCTTTTTGCCCTTAGTAATATTGTTTTGCTCATCCGAAGAAACATTTAATTTATTAGTTAATCCACCAGTTTCATCAAAAGGACTTAAATTATCCACAACTCCGTCATCCGAGCTACTTGATGAAGAGTTACTCGTAGAAGACATACTCGATGAAAAGTTTCTTGAAAAAGAGCTACTTGATGGTTTTAATGTTAGACCTCGAAGCAAACTATAGGTTTTACTTTGCACACCAGGAATGAAATGCGAATCTCTATCGGAATCATAGGAATCAGAGTCGCCCTGATCTGAGTGCATCGGTGAAATGTAATATTGCCTTTGATTGGATTCTGTAATAGGTTTAACATTAATAATCTTACTAAAGAAACCGTTTGCGTCAATTTCCTAAAGGACTTGATGTCTCGTAAATGTTGAAGGTATAGGTGGTGGTTGTACTTTCGCAACGTCACTGTTTTCTATTTGTGCACCGGGTTTATTACTTGTACTCTCCAGTGACAATAACGACGGTGAAGAGATTTCCTGCTCGCAATTCTCAGCATTTGAGTCCAAACCAACAAGTAATCGTTCAGGACTCCTAAGTCCTAAACCTAAAAATGAATCAAGTAATATTATTAGATTAAGTATACAAGTACTTGACGCAAGAATGTCACAAAGAGTGTAGTAACTCTAAATTGATAAAATAAAATAGTTAATAAGTTTTCCCAATATCACTGCTACACATTTATCATCAGTTATTACTATCCAGCTATCAACAAATAGATCGTGATTAATAACTGTTTTACAAACAACAACAAAAATGATTTAAAGTTGTAATTCAACAATAATGTAACATGTCAAAAATAATGAACTCAACCAATAATAGTGTCGTTAGTAAAAATATTAATTTAAAAAGTGCTGGTGTAAATTAGCAATAGTGCAATAACTAGAAAAACAACAATGTTATAGTTAGATTTAAATCAACAAGAATGTAATAGCTCGAAATATATCTTTAAAAAATACATACCTGATTCAGCAATAACGTGAAAACTCAAAATGATGTGCAAAGCAATACGTGCGTTCCCGATCACTGTTGGTCGCAATTAAAGAAGACGCGATATTGTGAGGTGGGTGACGACAGTCGATCAGTCATGAACAACCTCTTATGCCGTCATCTCTTATTCATTTCTTGCACTATTAAAGCAACAGTTTTATTGACTTGCAGAAAATTGCAGAAAATTGAATTTTACGGGGATTATGGATATAGTATTATATAAATTTCGAAATATTGTGAGTTGCGACACTATTGTATTATTAGTACGATATGTTTTATACCATTTTCTAGGAATATGATCAGACAACTCACTGTAATATTTAGGTTCGCTATAAGTATGGACATTTTCCCATACTCCAGCAAATAAAAGCTGGAATAAGTCATACGCGTGATCACTAAGTTTATCGTGTCGTTTATAAATTGCTATGAGTTCTACCAGGAAGCGTTTCAGTAGCGGTAGTAGAAATTATCTTAAATTTAGCGTATGGCATAAAATAAGAACACAGAAGTAAAAGCAATGTTTTTTTTATAGAAAACGTCAAATTCCATCTTTTAAGATTTTCTTGCTGTTCTGTTAATATAGGTAAATACACCAGTTGTTGACCATGAGTGAATTATTGATATGTTTTGAGTAACATTAGGAAAATGTTGGTACCTATTTTGTTAAATCTGACTACTTTTTTTTAAATTTGGCATTATGTCTGCTAGAGTATGACACATCTAGTTTCTAGGTAATCACCATGTTTTAGTCAGTATTCGTCGTTAATTAAGACACTATTCAAATATTCAAAAAATTCAAATTCAAAACAAAGCAAATGTTTGTTAATTATCTCAAAAAACTTGTATTAGCCAGTAAGTACTATATATTGATTTGTTTTACTGTATGTTTTATATTATTGTGAGAATATAGTGTGTGTCCTGTTTGAAATTGCATAACGAATCTTCTCCTTCTTCTTCTTCTTCTTCGCCTTTTCCCATTATGAGTTCGCCGTTTTCTTCCTCCACAGCACTCTATTCTCCCAGTCACCTTCTCTAAGGTCTCTATCTACCATAGCATTTCCGACGTATGTTTTCCATCTTGTAGCAGGTCCCCCTCTCCGTGTTTTGATCTCTAAAGTCGTTCCACAATTCATCAAGTGTCTGTCTTTTAATGTTTAAGTATTCTCTCGTTCGTTTTTCTTTTCGTAGTTTTCGTAAATTATTTAAAAGCTTTGTAATTTCTTGACCTAGCTTTTCTTGATCTGAATTTATAATCGTTCCCTTTCAAACGTATATAAGTTTAACCTAAATTAAACTTTTAAAGTCTCAGCAAGATTACCTTAGACAATAACGAATGAACTTGTTTAACCTTGCTGACACGGCTTATTATATATTTGGAATGAATGAACTTTGAATGTGTATAAAAATAACGATTTGTCAAGATATTTCCCTATATTATGAAAATCAAATGTTTTAAGAAATTTAAATTAAAAGAATCAAAATTATCGAATATAAGTAAAATTAAAATAATTAAGCTATTAGATTTGAATTGATTTGATTTAAGTAAAGTATGCAGAATAAAAATATTTCAATTAAGTATTATTAAATTTAAAGCTTAAGTTTCTTTAATAATAATAAATATTCAAAAACTTATAGTTTTATCCCGACGGTCACTTGTATGTTCCTGCTTCCTTCTTAGAACTGCAACCGGAACTGATAAGCTGAATCTCTGGATGCTACTAGATTTTTCTGCTGGAAAGTGGGTCTCCAAACTGCTAGAACAGTAGACTTAAGGACTGCTATTCAGGTTCTCTTTTAATCAAAGGCTCTCGTAAGGCTCCTACCCGTAATTTCGGTGCTTTCTGGTCTTTTTTATTTCTTTTTTCTTATCTTCACACTTCGAATTCGATTGTCGATCTTATACGGAACTGGGAAACAGCTATTTAGGTCGGTAAGGGTCGTCTCCTTCGAAGCTCCAAATCAATTAACGTTCTTTTGATGATGTTTTGACGAAGGACCAATGGAAAGATTCGAAAGTAGTTTTGAGATTCGAATCGGTTTGTAAATGCCCCTTTGTTCACTTCTTGTCAATCGACAATAATAGGTATAATAAAAGGTTGAAGTTGTGGAGTAAAAGTGTTGATTTATTGACAGATACTGGTAACTACACAATATGATGTTCTTTAGGTAACTAATTATGATTGACTGTATTTAAATGAGCTCAAATCCCCAATTTACAATCTCACAAATAGCTCATACCTTAGCACAGAGGTTATTGCTTTCTATCATACCATACCAAGAAACTTTGCTTACAATACTATTTAATCTACGCCTTAATTGCGACACTTAGGAAGTTCAATTTGAAAATATATTATTCGGCAATTTATTTAGTTGTAGGTAAATGAACTAATTATTAAACTATTATACGATATGGTTTTTCGATGTCACGTATACACGGTGAAACTATAAAAGATTAAGAAGTTAAGAATAATGTGAGATTACAAATTAAGGACTTAATTTGTGATTCAACATTGACACTAACAGAAAGTCACTGACAAAACAGTTACGATAATAGAAGATCATATTAAAAGTTTTTCTTCGTATGTAAGCCATTATTCAAGATACCATTCTGAAAAAAAAAATGTTTTAAGATATAAATATTTCGAAAATGTATCTACCGGTTTTACAAAGATTATTGTAGTTCCCACAATGTAACACCTGAACTAGAATCATTTTATAGAAAAATATTTGCCGCAAAATTTAACCAGTCATTTCACCCTCCTTTTACCGATACTTGTGCAAAGTGAGATAGGTATAATTCATTAATTAATACAACTTCTGATTTGTACGAACAAGCAGTTCATAAAGAGAATTAAAGGCAGCATCTTGCCATGTTAGATCGAGTCTACAAGGAAAAAAAAAACTGATAAATTCTGAAGCTG